TGGTGGATGGTAGACCTGATGGCTGAATACAACGATTGGTGGATGGTAGACCTAATGGCTGAATACAACGGTTGGTGGATGGTGGACCTAATGGCTAAATACATCGGTTGGTGGATGGTGGACCTAATGGCTGAATACAACGGTTGGTGGAGAGTGGACCTGATGGCTGAATACAACGGTTGGTGGATGGTGGACCTAATGGCTGAATGCAACGGTTGGTGGATGGTAGACCTGATGGCTGAATACAACGATTGGTGGATGGTAGACCTAATGGCTGAATACAACGGTTGGTGGATGGTGGACCTAATGGCGGAATTCAACGGTTGGTGATGGTGGACCTAATGGCTGAATACAACGGTTGGTGGACCTAATGGCTGGATACAACGGTTGGTGGATGGTGGATCTTATGGCTGAATACAACGGTTGGTGGATGGTGGACCTGATGGCTGAATACAACGGTTGCTGGATGGATGGTGGACCTGATGGCTGGATACTACGGTTGGTGGATGGTGGATCTTATGGCTGAATACAACGGTTGGTGGATGGTGGACCTGATGGCTGAATACAACGGTTGCTGGATGGATGGTGGACCTGATGGCTGAATACAACGGTTGGTGGATGGTGGACCTGATGGCTGAATACAACGGTTGGTGGATGGTGGACCTGATGGCTGAATACAACGGTTGGTGGATGGTGGACCTGATGGCTGAATACAACGGTTGGTGGATGGTGGATCTTATGGCTGAATACAACGGTTGGTGGATGGTGGATCTTATGGCTGAATACAACGGTTGGTGGATGGTGGACCTGATGGCTTAATACAACGGTTGGTGGATGGATGGTGGACCTGATGGCTGAATACAACGGTTGGTGGATGGTGGACCTGATGGCTGAATACAACGGTTGGTGGACATGATGGCTGAATACAACGGTTGGTGGATGGTGGACCTGATGGCTGAATAGAACGGTTTGTGGACGGTGGACCTAATGGCTGCATACAACGGTTGGTGGATGGTGGACCTAATGGCTGAATACAACGGTTGGTGGATGGTGGACCTAGTGGCTGAATACATCGGTTGGTGGATGGTGGACCCAATGGCTGAATACAACGGTTGGTGGATGGTGGACCTAGTGGCTAAATACATCGGTTGGGGGATGGTGGACCTAATGGCTGAATTCAACGGTTGGTGGATGGTGGACCTAATGGCTGAATACAACGGTTGGTGGATGGTGGACCTGATGGCTAAATACAACGGTTGGTGGATGGTGGACCTAATGGCTGAATACAACGGTTGGTGGATGGTGGACCTGATTGATGAATACAACGGTTGGTGGATGGTGGACCTAATTGCTGAATACAGCGGTTGGTGGATTGTGGACCTAATGGCTGAATACAACGGTTGGTGGATGGTGGATCTAATGGCTGAATACAACGGTTGGTGGTTGGTGAACCTAATGGCTGAATACAACGGTTGGTGGATGGTGGACCGAATGGCTGAATACAACGGTTGGTGGACCTGATGGCTGAATACCACGGTTGATGGATGGTGGACCTGATGGCTTAATACGACGGTTGGTGGATGGTGGACCTGATGGCTAAATACAACGGTTGGTGGATGGTGGAGCTAATGGTTGAATACAACGGTTGGTGGTTGGTGGACGTAATGGCTGAATACAACGGTTGGTGGATGGTGGACCTAATGGCTGAATACAACGGTTGGTGGATGGTTGACTTAATGGCTGAATACAACGGTTGGTGGATGGTGGACCTGATGGCTGAATACAACGGTTGGTGGATGGTGGACCTGGTGGCTGAATACAACGGTTGGTGGATGGTGGACCTGATGGCTGAATACAACGATTGGTGGATGGTGGACCTAATGGCTGAATACATCGGTTGGTGGATGGTGGACCTGATGGCTGAATACAACGGTTGGTGGATGGTGGACCTGATGGCTGAATACAACGGTTGGTGGATGGTGGACCTGATGGCTGAATACAATGTTTGGTGGATGGTGGACCTAATGGCTGAATACAACGGTTGGTGGATGGTGGACCTGATGGCTGAATACAACGGTTGGTGGATGGTGGACCTGATGGCTGAATACAACGGTTGGTGGATGGTGGACCTAATGGCTGAATACATCGTCCAAGCTATAACTCTCACAAACAGGTAAGTAACGAAACGTTCAATAGTAATAGTAGTATTGTTTGAATATGTTTATGTAATAAAAGAAACTTTGTACTTTTATCTTTATGAGCAGCAACAAATAAGAAATGAAACGTCTGTTTAAGGAATTGAAAATGTTTAATGTTGGAACCATTCTCGAATTTCGTGGCAATCGAATGAATGGTGTAGTATTCAGTTTGGTGGACATATACTCATATATATCTATAATATAAGCGGGCTGAGCGTGCGCCAGTCCTTCCTTCCTTCCTTCTGTCATCGCTATAGTTTTTGGAACCATGAAAGTATACATCTCACCATGCTGTGCTTTTCAGTGCACCGCAGTGTCTTATTATAAGTAATGGAGTAGGGTTTGTTTATATAACGGCTTAGAGCTATTTTATAATTGCCACTGTTTTTACTTTTTTGCATAACGTAAAGAAAATATTAAATACACGCACACTGCTAAAATATTAAAAGTATTAATGTCAAATATCATTTTCGTTTATATTCCCAGAAAAAGTGGATACAATTCAATAACAAAATAACAGTACGGTAGAAAAATCAAATTAATTTAGCTCTTTTTTCTAATTTTGACAAAGGAGGTAATTTAAAAATACATTAAACTAACGCTAATAAAAATGTGAATGCAAATATACGGTCGTCATAGAAGGAATTAGTGTTGCAATAATATAATTAACAAAATGTGAATGCAAATTATGCGGAGGTGTAAGAGGAAACAATTGTTAGAAAATTATAATTAGCATGGATTGATAAAAGGCAATCTTTTATTTATTTTATTCACTGAATGTAGGCCCTACTGTTTATTACTTATAATTTTAATCAACTATTCAGCACTATTATAGACGCGTCATCACGTTCATTAGGTGCCCAATGGTTTTAGTTATGAAACTCTATTGTAATTTTTTAAAAATTAAAGTACTGGGAAAAAAAATGCGTGAATGGATAAAGTGAAATATTGTAGGTAAAACACGGATATTTTAAATACTGTTTATTTATACTGTTTACTAATTATTATTCTATCTTTTGGTTTGCGGAAAAGCTAGGCGTTTTATAGGAGAGGTGTAGCGAGGGGGGGGGGCATATGACCCCGGGTGCCGACCTTAGAGGGCGCCAAAGTGGGTTGGAAAAAATATGCGAGGGGGGGTGGTGGAAATCAAAAGTTTTAGGGCGTGGGAGACAGGGGTGCAAATCGAAAGTTTGAGGGGGGTGCAAATCACTGGAAATTGCGCGATTTGGCGCTACGGGCTAGACTGTGAGCAATATGCCTTTATGATTGCATTTAACTTGTGTTTATGTTATGAGTGTTGTGTTTGTTTTTTCGTTTGTGTTTTTTTTTTGCGTTCGTTTGTGTTGTGTTTAATTTTGTTCTGTTCCCAAGTTGGTTCATTTAAAAATGATTTACCGTGGCGGAGCACGGGATGCAGCTAGTATATATATATATATATATGTATATATATATATATATATATATATATATATATATATATATATATATATATATATATATATATATATAGGCCTATATATCTTTTTTTTCTTTTTTTTTTTTTTTTTTGCTGAAAACAAAACAATAGCTATATGTACTTGAAATAAAAGTACAGGAGCTGTTTTAAAAATTCGAAACTAAAAATAGAAAGCTTGGCCAAGGATGTTAAACCACAGAATATAACAAAATATAAATTATATTACAATACTGTGTAGCCTACACTTTAATGTTTGATTATGCAGTTAAGTATTAATTATGTAGCGGATTAGGTTATAGGTTATAACAATTGTTATAAAGGTGGGCTATGGGCGATATTACTTTTTTGCGACAAAAGCAAACAGACGAATGACACTGTCATCTCGACTTTGTCAATAACATTATGATATAATTCCTTTCACAAAAACTCGGTCTGGTACGCTACAAACTTTGTATTTGTTGTCGAAAGAGTTTACAGCAACTCAGACTATAAATAATTGTGTCTAAGTATTGGGAGTTAGTGATTGTGTCTAATTATCGAGGTTTAGTGATTGTGTCGGATTATCGTATATATGTGGTTGTGTACAAGTATCGTAGATTAGTGATTGTGTCGAATTATCGTAGATTAGTGATAGTGTCCAAGTATCATGAGAATACTGATTATGTCGAAGAATCGGTGATATGCAATTCTATTGGAGCATCATGAATGTTTGCTTGTGTTCAATCATCTTGGATTAAAGTTTTCTTCGATATATCATTCAATATATCATTCAATATATCATTGGTTATTGATGGTGTCGAGGAACTATACTCTAACAACACCTCGCTGGTCTTTTACATTATAACGATGGCAAAGCCAAAGACTTTTTTAAATACAATGTAGAATACAACTTGTTACATTTTGAATTTAACTTGTGCAAATTAGCTACTGAATCGATTCAAGCCAAGCAACCCCAGCCGCCTCCCTCCCCCCACACACATACCTCCCTCCAACCCATGCATTGTTGGGGTTCGATGGATTGTATCGATTGCTGGTGTGAGCGTGATAATGAAGATCAAAAGATATTGATCTATAATTGTTTTGTTGAATTAGTACCAAACAATATAAATATATTTTACATGCATGTTTGTAATAGATATGAATAACACGATGAACACCATATATACGTGAAAAATAATATCAAATCTAAAACATGACAATATCTAAAACTACTTCATTTATTATTGATGTCGGAACTTAAGAGCTTCAAAAATATTAACTCATCTTGTTTTAAAATGAATTAAAAAATAGATGTTCGTTTCACTTCTGTTTTTACTTAAAAAATAAAACCAGTTTTTTAAATGTAATTATTTCCTTTCTTTTCTTTGAAAATGAATTCGGCATGCATGTTTTTTCTTTCTATAAAGTTTTAAGAGTTTAGCTGTTTTAATTACATTATCAATCATCCCTCCGTCCGGACTTTTATTATTAAAAAGAACACACCTCTCTTCACATTCATCAAACAGATTTTTAAATTCCCCCTCCTGTTGCTTACACCATTCTTTAAAATGTTCTGTGCTCCCATCAAAGTTATCCCCGTGTGTCATCACTATGATACCGTGTTTAGAAAACACATCTGTGTGAAACAAACTCCTAACGTGAGCTACAGCGTCCTGTTCCTGTTTTGTGAACCTCTCTCCGTACTTTAAACAGTACACTAAAGCGTTAAATTTGCCTTTACAGAGTTCTAAAGCTTCCTTTTTCCGTTTTTCGGCTTCCTTGATACCTCCAGGCATGTCTTCACCCGTGTCGCCAATCCTCGACCCGTCCACAACGGTCAGTCTGACACCACCAACATGACCTTCACCTTTCATTACCTGATGATCCTCTGGTTTGTCCGAAGTACTTGCTGGTTTGAATTTTCCTGACCCCAGTAATCTGTTTCCTGTTGAACTTTTACCACTGCCTGTCCTGCCCACCATTAACAATACCACTTCCTCGCTTTCTACTTTTGCCATTTATCTGTGAAAACGTTGCAAAAAGAAAAGAAAAAAAAAAGTTTTATTTGTTGTATTTATTTTTTCAAAAAATCTTGCGAAATAAAATTTTGTTTTGTAACAAAAGTTCTTTTTCTTCGTTCTTCATTCTAGTGGTTGCAAGGGATTCACTCCAACAAAATTATATATATATATATATATATATATATATATATATATATATACATATATATATATATATATATATATATATATATATATATATATATATATATATATATATATATATATATATATATATTAGAGTTGTCTCTCCCAGCAGTCAAGCCACATCTGCCCGAGGGTCCAAGCTCTAGACTTTTCGGTTTAGCAATGAAAAGCTTTACCCTCTCGACCACGCCGACCCCGTTGTAGCTTTATTTTTAGGCGAACGCTTTGACTAACATGTATCTCATATCAACTTTCCATTCAACTGCCATAGTTATTTCCTCTTTGTTTATGTCTCTAATTCATATCTGCTGTTCTGCAACGTTGTTTAAACGTTATGTACGTTACTGGCATTGCCTCAATAATTTTCTTTACCAGATTGTTTTAATGTTTGTGTGCAGTGTTTTTGTGTGTCAAACAGTTCTTCTCATAGAATAACTTAGTCAACTTCTCTCACTCATTTTAGGAAGGCCTTAAGTAAAATCGCCCGAAGCTATTAATGTGAAAGAAAGGTGACTAATTAATGTTGCTTTTATACAAGTATATTGTGGTATATTTTAATCTAATATAATATATTATTAAATAATAAACCAAACGCAATGTCTATATATATCAATATAGGACCAAAATCAACTTTAAATAGCAATGTGTGAGAGCAAAATTTGCTATCCTAATATATAAAAGCTCATGTGCGCACTTCTCTCTCTCTCTCTCTCTGTACGCAAAATATTTTCGCCGGACATCACATCAGAATCTTCAGCGAAATATAGAGAACTTGATACGGACTTTTGTTGAAAAAAATATGGTAGATGTTTTAAATGTATAACCAACATTTTATTTAAAGAACAAAAATAAAAAAATAAAGGCGTATTCAAATGTGGAAAAACAGTTTTAGTTAAAAGCGTTTATAGTTGTGAAAAAGAACCCAAGAAACAATGACGTCACTAATGTTTATACATTAACTAATGACGTCATCTGCCGAGTTTAGAATAAAAAGAAATGAACTATCTCATTCAAATTTGATTTACATCTAGATCTATAGATCTACTCAACAAGACGTACGCTAAGAACTATATACAATTTTATCGGTCAAACTAATACAAATTACTTAAAAACAACATAATGACCATTGAATAGCCAGATTTTTAACAGAATCATTTAAGTCACTTAATCAGTGTGAGCCTGTGTTATGTTAAATTGTCGGATTTTTAGCTAATTAGTTATTTCTTTGCTTTGTCACTAATAAATAGTTCAGCGACCAATAACTATTTCATAAATTATTTTTCTCAAACAAGTACATTTAAAAATTAAAATATATAGGTCTATTAATTCACGTGAAACGGGTACCGATGGCTAGTATCTTGTATAAACAGCAACCATCTGTAAAGTAGAGTGGCTTCCCCTGAAATTCCAGATCTAGCTATAATTTACCAAAAAATAAAATTAAAAGATTGCTGCTAAGTTAACACGCTCGGTTGCATCTGATAAAAACATCGCTAATCTTTATTTATTACTGAAAAGTTTTAACACAATTATTTGAAAACAGTTGTGTAACTTTTAATACATAAGTGCTCTTAAAATTGCGAGATAATTATTACACGTTTATTATTTGCTTTTTTTTTAACAGTTCTGTACCCTTGATAAAACGGTTGTTCAGCTTACACCTTCTCCGCTGGAAAGAATTCCCAGGAAAACACATTTTCTAAAAAAGTCGAAAAGGGGAATCCCCATTGGTATGACGTGGAATGCTGAGCTAAGTAAACGGAGCATTGCGCTGTGTCTGTATGTGACTGTGTGTGTGTGTGAGTGTGTGTGTGTTTGTTTGAGTGTGTGTGTGTTTCTTGTTCATGAATAATTTATTTGTAGCTTTAAAATGTAAGCGGCAATGGTTTCCTACTCTTTCGCACTTCCAGTCTAGTGTAAGTTAAGTAAGAGGTTAGTGGCCTTAACAAGGTTATAACGTTGTAACCTGAGTAGTATAGTAGGTCGTGTTTGGACCGCAAGAGGAGGAGGAGGCGAGGGGGAGGAGGAGGAGGAGGGGAGGGGGAGGAGGAGGAGGAGGAGTGATTGATTATTTTGACCGTTATTGATTGACTTTTGCCCACCTGTTGCATATTTTGACCGTTATTGATTGATTCTTGACCACCTGTTGATTATTTAACCCGTTATTGATTGATTCTCGACCACCTGTTGATTATTTAACCCGTTATTGATTGATTCTCAACCACCTGTTGATTTTTGTCCCTGTTTTTTGACCAACTATTGATTTTTTCAGCCCGTTGTTGATTGTTCATTAAACAACTGTTGATTATTTTGACTAGTAGGTTATTGTTTTGATCGGTATGTTGACCACTTGATCACTTGTTGACCAGATGTTGTTTTACATTGTTTTATTAACGGTTATCATAGAGGAGGAGGAGGTTATTGTTTTGATCAATTGATCGATATATTGACCAGTTGACCAACTGACCACTTGAGCTATTGTTTTATTAATGGTCTTATACAGTTGTTGACCAACTGACCAGTAGTTGACCAGATGATCAGTTTATCGGTTGTTGACCAGTTGCCCATTTGTTGGTTGTTGTTTTTTTTTTTTTTTTTTTTTTTTTTTTTTTTTTTTTTTTTTTTTTATTGACCTGGACGACAGTCCGGCTTTAACAGTATATAGTAAAATAGTATTTCACCACCCTCCAGTGAGGGTGTGGGTGGGGGTGACGCGGGTGAAACCCGGGGGGCGGGGTGGGGGAGGTGGTAGCAGGTGGTATCCCTTCCCTTTGTGTGTTGCAATCTCATTCTCCCTTTGTCTGAAGTCTGTGTGAGCATGTCCTTTTGTGTGCCGCTACTCGCGTCATACTCAAAGGCAGGTGCTGTACCTCATTGTCTAATCCAACTCACGCGCCTTTACTATCGATTTTTTTAAAAGTCATGTTTAAACATGTTGACCGTATAAAATCTTTGTTGAATAGGACTGATGGATGTCGAATTCTACTCGTCCTAATATAAAGAGATACATCACGTGCCAACAGCCGGGCGGTTATTGCCCCCTTCCTGGTTTCTACTTGCTTGTTGTGTTTATGGCTTGCGTTTATATACACACACTCACACACACACAACTTACACACAACTTATATCACAACAAAAGACTTCTTATATTTTATGAATTTATTTCAACTTTCTCCAAGTCATCAAACGCTTTTAAAATATCATATCTCAGGGCGAGTAAACGTTCAAAGGCTACACGAGAGAGATTAATTCCAGAATTATTAGGAAATTTAAGATCTGTACCATCCATAAGATCTCTAAGGTTTAAAGTGTTTTTGTTCATGAATTGACTAACGATAGCTACTTTATAACCACTGTCATTCGTCGTTCGTATTTCCGTCACTTTATAACTACTCCTGGCCACAAGTATCCAATCTTCACTAGACATCTTGAAAGCGCGGAAATAAACGTTTATAATTAGTCCCAATAAGTGCAAGTGTTAAACGTGATATAAGTCGATCGTTAATATATTGTCGAGCCGGTGACGGTGAAAAAGGGCGGAGAATAAGTTTTAGGCTAGCTCCCCGAACTTTCTTCAAAACAAAATAAACTGCGTATAATCCACAGCTGTTGGTTACAATGTCTTGCAAAACTCTTGAATTGTAAACGAATGATCTGTTTGAATTATTTTTTATAAAAGTCAAAATGGCGGGTTCACGCGGTGGTAATCCAAAACTATCGAAATAAGTAAATTGCGATAGACCATTGAAAAAAAGACCAACCCAGTGGCTGCCTTCATCCTTGGACAAATCTAAATTTATAATGAACGCCGCTTGCTTCGTTCTATCGATACGAGTAGGTAGTTGATCGCACGCTACAACACCAAAGAGATTTGTGCGTTGTACAAATAAGTCTGCGGCCAGTATACTTTGTAGTTCTCTTGTGTTCATTTTCGTTTATAGGACGCTTTAGGCGGTGTAATCTGTCAACACTTGTCTCGTTTTTGAAATTTCTAACACCGAATCTAGTTCAGCATACGCAATAACTTGAATCGGTTCAGTTGTAACTTGTGAAAATTTAAGTTCAATAGAAACAGGTCCAGATTTAGCCAATTCAAATTGTTCACCATCCAAAAGACTGGGGCTTAAATCAAAAGCAAACAGGGTATAGCCGTTCTTAAAGTGTTTATAGTCTATCCCATTCCCAGCATCTTTTCCAACCATACCCAGAGAGAGGTTACTATTGAAAAATGCTCTAATGGCTTGATTCCTGTCAAAGTCCATGACCAGTGGTTTCCCCGATAACGATCGTCCATCAACGCTTACATTTAAATACGTCAAGTGAAAATGTTGAAAATTGAAGGGGTTTTTCGTCTAACTCCCATTAAAGGCTGTAGAGGCGACTAGTCCGAGGACTAATCGGGTGGGTGTTTGACTCATATACAAATTGTCTTGATTGTGACTTAACATTCCTTTCGGTATAGCAAAGGTCTTTATAACAACGCGTTTAAAAGGGTATTTTGCATTCATTCTCGTTAAAGCCTTTTCATGCGCGATAGAAATCGCCGGGTTAAGTCTGGCCTTTCTAACCACCAATGTTGCGTGCGTTATCATCGCTTAATACCCCTTGTTTTGGTCTGCTGTCAAGAGAGTGAAACTGTCTTTTGCGGGTGTAAGTTTAATTTTAATGTCAACCCCATTCAGCATATAGCGATCTTGGGTGAAAATGTCAGAGTGTATACGTCCCATCATATCGATCTCATGACTTTCAGCAGCGGTGGTGCGGCGAATCCTATACCCCTCATTATTGTCATCTTTGAACTCCTCGAAATG